CCTCAAGGCCAGTGGTTAATTGGAGATAAGTCTCATGGACTTTCTTGCCCAGATTGGCTTTGAATCATGATCCTCAGATCTCAGCCTCCTGAGTAGCTAGTACTCCAGGCATGAGCCACCAGCGCTGGCTTATGGTGCTATTTTTAAGTGAATATGAAGGCCCAGGAGAGCAACTAGCCCCTGAAATCATCTTATGAAGGGGGAACTCAAGTGTTGATAGTAACACAGAAAATAAAACAGACCAGCTCCAAGTTATTGCTGCAGGTCCACAGAAGGATCCGATAATATGCCAATGGCTCATGCCTGTAATCTTAACTACTCAGGAGGCTGAGATTTGAGGATAATGGTTGGAATCCAGCCAGAGCAGAAAACTCCTAGCATGCATGAAGCCCTGGGTTCGATTCCTCAGTACTACATAAACAGCAAAAACTGGAAGTGGTGCTGTGGTTCAAGTGGTAGGGTGTTAGTCTTGAGCAAAAGCAGCTCAAGGACAGTGCCCAGGTCCAGAGTTCAAGCCTCAGGACTGGTAAAAGCAAAACAAAATAAAACAAAACCAAAAACTACTAACAAGGGCTGATTTTAACTATGATGTAGCACACCGACTTGCATGCACAAGGTCCTGGGTTTCATTGCTAGCACCAGCAACACAAAACCTAAAATAAACAAAACAGCAAATGTAACAAAGGTTTAGTGTACCTTAGTGTATGCTTCCCTGCCCTTTTGAAGGCAGGAGAGAGCCAGGCACCAGTGGTTCATACCTGCAATTCAAGCTACTCAGGAGGCTGAGATCCGAGGATCAAGGTTTGAAACAAGCCTGGGCAAAAAAGTCCTTAAGACTCTTATCTCTAACCTCCAAAAAGCTGTTGTTCAAGTAGAAGAGCAGTAGCCTTGAGTAAAAAAAGCTCAAGGACAGGCTGGGAAGGTGGCTCAGTGGTAGAGTGCTTGCCTTGCATGCATGAAGCCCTGGGTTTGATTCCTTAGTACCATATAAACAGAAAAAGCCGGATGTGGTACTGTGGCTCAAGTGGTAGAGTGCTAGCCTTGAGCAAAGAAAAGCTCAGATACAACAGCACCCAGGCCCTGAGTTCAATCTCCAGGACTGGCACACACACACACATACACACACACACACACACACACACACATACTCACGCGGCTCAAGTGCTCAGTCCCTGCATTCAAGCCCCAGGACACACACACAAACACACACACACACACACACACACACACAGAGCTCAAGTGCTCAGTCCCTGCATTCAAGCCCCAGGACACACACACACACACACACACACACACGAAAATGCCTTGAATGGCTGAATTGTAAAGTGAGTTAGTAGGTGTAAGCACTTAGAAAATTCTCAGAAAACACTAAACCAGATTAGATGTTATTATGGTCTTATTTCTAGAGATGAAAGTCTCAATTTGTTTTCTAGGCTGTCCCTGAACTCCTGGTCTGAAGTGAAGAATAGCTGAAAGTATAGGCAGACACCCTGGGGCCCAGGTATTACATGATTATTAATCTCTCATTCATTCAGCCCATAGTTATTCAGCTTATTTGTGCCAAGTACAAATGCTTAGCACAAAGGGCACAGTTAATGAGCAAATGAGCCATGTTTAGCTAATACTGTTACGTCTATCAGCGATTTCTCTCTGAAAAGCAATAGCTTTTTTTATGTATGTGTTGGTCGTGGGGCTTGAATTCAGGGCCTGCCTGTGTGCTGTCCCTGAGGTTTTTTGCATAAGGCTAGTACTCTACCACTTGAGACACAGCTCCACTTCTGGCTTTTTGCTGGTTAATTAGAGATAAAAATCTTATGGACTTTCTTGCCCAAGCTAGCTTCAGAGCATGATGTCCAGATGTCAGCCTCCTCAGTAGCTACTAATTAGTCATGAGTACCGGCCCCCAGAGAAAGCTTTTTTTAGCCCACTGGGGCTTGAATTAATTGATTAATGGTCTGGGCACTGTCCCTGAGCTGCTTTTGCTCAAGGCTAGCACTCTATGGCTTGAGCTACTGTGCCACTTCTGGCCTTTTCTGTTAATGTGGTACAGAGGAATGGAACCCAGGGCTTTATGCATGCTAGGCAAGCACTCTACCACTGAGACACATTCCCAGCCAGATTTTAATTTAATTTTGTTTTCTGTGTGTCAGGGCATCCACTCTACCACTTGAACCATGTCTACAACTGCCTTTTTTCCCAGTTGTGGGGCCTGAATACAGGGTTTTGGCAGTGTCCTGAACCTCTTGTTGCTTGACTAGTGCTCTACCACTTAAGCCACAGCACCACTTCCAGCTTTGTAGTGGTTAATTGGAGATAAGAATTTCATGGGAACTTTTCTGCCCAAGCTAGCTTCAAACCTCGATCATCAGATCTCAGCTACTCAGCCTTCCGAGTAGCTAGGATTACAGGTGTGAGCCACCAACACCTGGCCAATTCCTGCTTTTGCTAGGTGTTTGTAGATAACATTCTTGAGGATTTGTTTGCCAGGGCTGTTTCTTTTTTTTTTTTTTTTGGTCGGTTGTGGGACTTGAATTCTGGGTCTGGGCGCTGTCCCTGAGCTCTTCATCTCAAGGCTAGCGTTCTACCATTTGAGCCACAGAGCCACTTCTGGCTTTCTGGTGGTTAACCAATGATGAGTCTCATGGACTTTCCTTGCCCAGGTTGGCTTTGACCCTGATCCTCAGATCTCAGCCTCCTGAGTAGCTACGATTACTGGCATGAGCCATGGGCGCCCGGCAAGCTAGGGCTGGTTTTAAACTTTGATCTTCAGATCTGAGCTTCCTGAGTAGTTATAGGCATGAACCAGTAGCATCTGGCTCTGCTGACAGAATTTTGAGACACCACACCTGGACAGTGTGTGGGAACATTGTTCCTGGGGCTTGAACTTGGGGACTGAGCACTGTCCCTGAGCTTTTGTGCTCAAAGCTAGTGCCCTCTACCACTTCAGCCACAGCTCTAGCCACAATCTTACCCACAATTTCCTTGCCCACACTCCTCTAAATGAGCTAAGCCCTGTCCTGGAAATGAGTGATTAGACCTTCTCTGGGGTGGGGATGAACAGAATGTCCAATGGCTTGGCACCAATCTGAAGTTGGTACTGAACCTGATTTTGGAGTTCTGTTGTGTAGAAATGAAGGGAATGACTAGATGAGGTCATACTGTGTTACAAAGCTTTTTTGGTCGTTAAAGAGTCTCATAGACTTTCCTGCCCAGGCTGACTTCGAACTCCTATCCTCAGATCTCAGCTTCTTGAGTAGCTAGGATTACAGGTGTGAGCCAGTGGTGACTGGCAACATCTGGACAGCTTCCTTTTTTTTTTTTTTTTTTTTTTTTTTTTTTTTGGTTGGTTGTGGGGCTTGAACTCTGGGCTTGGGTGCTGTCCCTGTGCTCTTCAGCTCTTCCTTTTTTTTTTTTTTTTTTTTTTTTTACAGAGGCAGCATTCTAGATATGTCTAGAGACTTGGGAAAGAGGGAAACACATTTTTTGTCAGTTGTGGGGCTTGAACTCTGGGCCTGGGCAATGTCCCTCAGCTCTTCAGCTCAAGGTTAGTGCTCTACCACTTGAGCCACAACACCACTTCCGGTTTTAAGTGGTTTATTGGAGATAAGTGTCTCATGGTCTTTCCTGCCCAGGCTGGCTTTGAACTGTGATCCTCAGATCTAAGCCTCCTGAGTAGCTAGGATTACAGGTGTGAGCCACCAGTGCCCAGCAAGGGAAATGCTTTTTACATACATGGCTATAATTTGGAAGAAGCTGACTAGACATAATATACTAGTCATAGCTGCCAACTTGTGAGTGGCTGGTGGGGAATTCATTGGCTCCCAGATGTGGTTGCCCCAGTGACCACTGTGGCAGAAGCAGCCCTGACTTTGAGCAGCTTAGAGGGTCACATATCAAGAACAAACTGGACCATCAGAGGACCTTTAGAAACATGGCTGTTTAAGCACAGTGGGCAAAGGTCATATTAGTCAATCTCCTTGCCCATACTTCTCTGAATGAGCCAAGACCTGTCCTGGAAATGAGGAATTAGGTGCACAAAAAGTCCAATGGCTTGGCACCAATCTTTTTTTTTTTTTTGGGTCCAGTCATGGGGCCTGAACTCTGGGCCTGGGTGCTGTCCCTCAGCTCTTCAGCTCAAGGCTAGCTGTCTACAACTTGAGCCACAGCACCACTTCCGGCTTTTTCTGCTTATGTGGTGCTGAGGAATCGAACCCAGGGCCTCATGCATGCAAGGCAAGCACTCTACCACTGAGCCACCTTCCCAGCCCTTGGCACCAATCTTAACTAGGTACTGAATCTGATTTTGGTGTTCTGTTGTGTAGAAATGAAGGGAATGACTAGATGAGATCATGCTGTGTTACCAGGCTGAGGGGAAGAGCCAGTGCTGTTCCCTGGGGAGCTTTGAGTCCTTCTTGGCAGGGGGGACAGTTACCAAGATTGGGTTGTTATGATTTTAAGAAAGGATGAGGTAGCAGGGCACTGGTGGCTCACACCTGTAATCCTAGCTACTCAGGCTGAGATCTGAGGATCATGGTTCAAAGCCAGCACAGGAAGGAAAGTCCATGAGACTCATCTCCAATAAACCACCAGAAAAATGGAAGTGGCACTGTGGTTCAAGTGGGAGAGCATTCACCTCGAGCTGAAGAGCTCAGGGACAGTGCTCAGGCCCAGAGTTCAAGCCCCACAACTGACCCCCCCCTCAAAAAAAAAGAGAAAGAATGAGGCCAGACACTGGTCTCTGAAAGATGTTCAAGATCCAAACTGTAACACTCAGGAAGTTGTTCCAGAAGTATCATTCCAGAATCCCTCATGTCAATGCAGGGCACAGATTTTGCAGCTTCTATGTTCCAAGAGTGTGTTCATGATTGAAAGGGTCATTTAACTTGGCTGGTCCACGAGGAGGGAGGTGAGGCTGACAAGGATATACTTCCAGCCCAGTATGCTCAGTTCTCACTTAACTTACAGTTCAGTGTACTTATATATGATTTCATCCTTCTAAATATTTTAAATATTTTTATTGTATCTTTATTGTATTGTTTGTCCCTTTTGGTCCATTCAATCCCTATCCTTGCACTGTAGGGAAGATGGAACAATTATTTCCTCATATTCACAAAGATATCAGTTCTAGCAATGGAAGGAGCGCAGGCCATGGGATTGTCCCATGGATCAGTCTTCATCCAAGTTACTGGGGCCCATGTACTGGCAGATGGCATCATAGTGCAGCTCCACTGCCTCATTCTCGCTTTGCAGTTGCACCAAAGCCCGGTTCCGTGCTCTGTCTCTGTCCAGCAGATGTCCTAACTGGAGGAAGAGTGGGGTAAAGTTAGCAAGGCTAGCCTGGCCCTTGAGACATTCCCCACTCCCTTTTATTTTGCACAGATACTGAGGTTTGAACCCAGAACCTGGGTGTTGTCCCTTAGCTTTTTTCCTCAAGGCTGGTGTTCTACCACTTGAGCCACAGCTCCACTTCTGGCTTTTTACTGGAGATAAAGTCTCATGAACTTGCCTTACTGTGCCCGTTTCAAGCCACGGTCGTCAGAAATCAGCCTCCTGAGTAGCTAGGTACTAGTACAGGTGTGAGCCACCACTGCCCAGCACGGGCATCCCTTGAATGCCTTCCAGGTCCCTATTTCCAGGTCTAGAAGTTACCTTTCCAACCTGTGTTCCTAGTACCACCATCACAAGGTCTCCCTCTTCCTTGGGAACCAAAGTCTCCAGCATGTTTTCCTTTAAGCCTGAAGATGAGAAAAAGGGAGATGAGGCCTGTAGCAAGGGACAGCCCTGCCAGGTCCTGCCAGTGGGGCCTCTGCCATATTCACTAGAGCCACTGTCCACCCTGCTGACAGATGGAATCCCTCTATAGCCATCTCATAGCTGAAGAAACCTAGGGAGGTCAAAGAAATGCCTGTGGTATAGGGAATATTTACCACTGAGCCACCTTCCCAGCCCAATAGGGAATATTTACATAGGGAGGCGATGACAGACATTTACTGTGGGCATGTTCTTGGTCTTGCTCTGCACTGGGAGCTCACTACAGCCTTGTAAAAGCACTGGTCTCAAGGGACAGTCATTTCCATGAGACAGATGAGAAGGGAAGACAGGGCTCAGTAATCTCTCTCAAGGAAGTACTGAATGTTCTTCAAGAGGATTCTAGGCCTTGCAAAGAATGTGGCCTCTGCCCAACCTCTCTGCTGCTCCTGGGCCTGGCTCTGGGCCTTCTCGATCAGTCTTTGTAATGGGAGCTCCCCAGCTGCCATGACACCTACTTACCTTCCAGGATTTGACCGTTATCTGTCCGACACACACAGGTATCTGGGCTTAGGACATCTTCAATAATCATCTAGGGAGACCAGTGTGGAGCATGTAAGATGTTAAGAAGACCAGTTCTTGAGTGAGGAGGGGGACTTAGGTCCTGAGGTATGTACCTTGGTATTGTAATACTGGCCACCCTTGTACAGCTTATCCACAAACCGCACCCGCAGATCCCGGTGCAACCAGTGGTGACTTCTGGAGGCCACTTTCTCATTCTTGGCTGCAGGTCCGTCCTGTCTGTGGAGATAGGCCAGCCCCATATTGTGTGTTTTCTCTCTCTCTCTCTCTCTCTCTTTTTTGCAGGTCCTAGGGCTTGAACTCAAGGCCTGGGTGCTGTCCTTAAGCTTCTTTTGCTCAAGGCTAGAACTCTACTACTTAAGTCACAGTACTACTTCTAGCCTTTTCTGAGTAGTTTATTGGAGATAAGAGTCTCATGGACTTTCTTGCCCAGGCTGGCTTAAAACCACGATCCTCACAGCTCAGCCTCCTTAGTAGCTAGGATTACAGGATTGAGCTACCAGCCCCTGGTTTGTTTAGCTCTTTTCTTTTCTTTTTGTTTAGCTCTTTTCTACATGCATGTTCCAGCCACCCTACCTCTGCCTCAGCTGTGAAACTCACCCATGTTGCCATTTCTAATTCCTTCCATGCCCATGCCTTGCCCCTACTTGAGTCTTTCCCACACCCTGCCTTTCTCCTCTAGCCCAAGGTTACCGGTCTGCAGGGTATTTCCGCTTCTCTGAGTTCTCTTGGTGGACCTGGGAGTCTTGGTTCTGGTCAGCCTTCACTGATGAGGTTTCATTATGTTGCTGTGCAGTTTTTCTCCCTTTGCCTGTTCAAGCAGGTAGACGGAGAGCCAGGCAAGTGTTTTAGTGTTCCAATGCCATTTCCCCAAGGTCATACCTTAGCCTAGGGCCATCTCCATCCTGCCAAAGTATATCTGTTCTCCATGGTGCCTTTGCCAAAAACATCTTTCCTTTTCACCCTTGCTGTCTTTTTTTTTTGGGGGGGGAGTCAGTCACGGGGCTTGAACTCAGGGCCTGAGTGCTGTCCCTGAGCTTTTATACTCAAGGCTAGCACTCTAGCACTCTACCACTTTGAGACACAGCTCTACTTCTGATTTTTTTGGTGGCTAATTGGAGGTGTCTTATGGACTATACTGCCTGGGCTGGAATTGAACCATGGTCCTCAGATTGCAGCCTCTAGAGTAGCTAGGATTACAGGTGTGAGGCACCAGCACCTTGCTTCCTTTCTGCCTTTTTCAAGCAGGCAGTTTCTCTCATCTATCCAGACTGCATGGAGCACTCATGAGAAGCAGCCACATAACAGACTCTGGAACAGCAGAGCTGTCTGAAACCATCTGCCAAGCTGCTCCTCCCATCATGCTTTGCTTGCTTCACCGGAGTGCTTTGCTTTCCTCTTCCTTGGTCATGCCCTAGCCCTGGAGGAGCTCACTCTTTAGCAAAAGAAAAGGTCACCACCCCAAATAGACAAGGACTTCATGAAGTGAAAGTAGGAAGGGGTTTCTAGATATGTTGCTTCCACGTTAGAGGGAGGTCAAAGACCTCCCTAGATCAACCTTTTGGTTTTTTTCAGTGCCAGCACTGGGACTTGTACACTCTCTCAGCTTTTTCACTCAAAGCTGGTGCTCTAAAACTTCAGCCACACTGCTACTGTCTGCCCAGACTGACTTTGAATCTTGATTCCTAGACCTTAGCATCCTGAGTAGCTAGGATTATAGGCATGAGCCATGGACATGCAACTAGATCCAACATTTTTCTTCAATCAAACTGGGTAAAATGGAGGCCAATGATATGGCTCCAGTAGTAGAAGGCTTACCTAGAAAGCTTGAGACCCTGTCTTTTTTTTTTTCCGTCGTGGGGCTTGAACTCTGGGCCTGAGCGCTATCCCTCAGCTCTTCAGCTCAAGGTGAGTGCTCTACCACTTGAGCTACAGCGCCACTTCTGGTTTTCTGGTGGTTTATTGGAGATAGGAGTCTCACAGTCTTTCCTGCCCGGGCTGGCTTTGAACTGTGATCCTCAGATCTCAGCCTCCTGAGTAGCTAGGATTACAGGCGTGAGCCACCAGTACTCTGCTTGAGACACTGTCTTTAAATCCAGACTAAAAAAAAAAATAAATCGGGCTGGAAATGTGGCTTAGTGGTAGAGTATTTGCCTCGCATACATGAAGCCCTGGGTTCAATTCCTTAGTACCACATAAAGGGCTGGAAGTGATGCTGTGGCTCAAGTGGTAGAGTGCTAGCCTTGAGCAAAAGAAGCTCAAGGACAGTGTCCAGGCCCTGAGTTCAAACCTCAGGACTGGCAAAAGAAAATAGGGGGTAGGAATGTGTAGAGTGCTTGCCTAGCATGCATGAAACTTTAGATTCAATTCCTCAGTACCACATAAACAGAAAAAGCCAGAAGTGGCACTGTGACTCAAGTGGTAGAGTGCTAGCCTTGAGCAAAAGAAACTCAGGGATGGGGCTGGGATGTAGCTCAGTGGCAAAGTGCTTGCCTAGCAAGTGCAACGTCCTGGGTTCAATCCCCAGTACCAAAAAAGAAAAGACAAAAAAAAATACAGTTAAAAAAAACCCAAACAAAAAAAAAGAAACTCAGGGACAGGGCCCAGGCCCTGAGTTCAAGCCCCAAGACTGGCAAAATAAGTAAATACATACATACATACATATATACATAAATAAATCTGAGTAACCTGGGCTACAGGTACGGCTGAGTGGTACAATACCCACTTAGCATTCATGAGATCTTGAGTTCCATCCCAGTACAGTCAAACAAAAATGAATAAATGGCTTCTGTCCCTTCTCACCTTCTGACCTCTGAGTTACATACTGCCCACCCCCTTGCAGATTAAAAACCCAGCTTATGAGATAGTGCCCACCCCACAGTGCTTCTCCAACTCCCCACATATGTAAAGGCTCATTCACCAGTATGCAAGGTGTTGCTGTCAAATTCCTTTTGTGAAACAGGCTTCAGGCAGTACTCACTAACAGTTACTATGCGGCTGCTCTCTGCCAGACGAACCATGGCCCGCACATTGTCAGGATCAATGCCTTCCACCTAAAGTATGGCAGGGTGTGTAGGGGGGAGGTCAGACAAGGGCTAGAACAAGCTGTCCACCCATTCCCTCCAAAAACCTGGACCCTGTGTGTGTCTCCTACCAGCTGTGACTCCACAAGGGCTAGGCCTAGCTTCATGTTTCCTGTACTGAAGTGTAAGTCTAGGACTAGGTGTGACTCCCTCAAACAGACCATGGGGTTTAGACATCTTTAAAGCAGTTTAACTTCATATACATTGCAGCCTTTGGCATTCTCTCCTTCCTGGTTGGGAACTACACAAATGCTCAGTACCAGAAACTGGCACTTGTTCAACCTAGTTGAGGCTGGGGGCTGAGCAGGCCTGAAAGTCTATGACTCACAGATTTTGTTGATTTTTTAAAATGCTAATAAAATGCTAATAATTTTCATGTAGGTGTGTATATGTATGTGCGCATGTGTGTGTTGGTCCTGGGGCTTGAACTCAGGGCCTGGATCTGATCTTCCTATTTTTGCTGCTTTGACAAGTATGCTTATTTATTTATTTATTGCTGGTTCTAGGTCTTGAGTTCAGAGTCTGGGCTTTTCAGTTAAAGAGTTAAAGGCTAGTGCTCTACCATTGAAGCTACAGCTCCACTTCTCGCTTTCTTCTCTTCCTTCCTTTCTTTCTTGTCAGTCGTGGGGTCTGAACTCTGGGCCTGGGCGCTGTCCCTCAGCTCTTCAGCTCAAGGCTAGCACTCTACCACTTGAGCCACAGCGCCACTTCTGGCGTTTTCTGCTTCTGTGGTGCTGAGGAATCTAACCCAGGGCCTGATGCATGCAAGGCAAGCACTCTACCACTGAGCCACCTTCCCAGCCCCTGGCTTTCTTTTTTCAAACAATACAATTTAGCCAGGCACCTGTGGCTCATGCCTGTAATCCTAGCTACTCAGGAGGCTGAGATCTGAGGATCACAATTCAAACCCAGCCCGGGGAAGGAAAGTCTGTGAGACTCTTATCTCCAATTAACCACCAGAAAACTGGAAGTGGTGCTGTGGCTCAAGCAGTAGAGCACTTGCCTTGAGCTGAAGAGCACAGGGATAGCGCCCAGGCCCAGAGCTCAAGCCCCTCGACTGACCCCACTTTGTGCCACAGCTCTATTCTGGTTTTCTGGTGGTTACTTGGAAATGAGTCTTAGGGACTTTCCTGCCTGGGCTTCCAACCATGATTCTCAGATCTTAGCCTCTTAAGTTGCTAGAATTACAGGTGTGAGCCACCAGCACTTGCCTACATTTCTTTCTGTGGATAATGTTATTCTTTCCTTCCCTTCCCTTCCCTCCCTGCCTCCCTCCCTCCCTCCCTCCCTTCCTTCCTTCCTTCCTTTCTTGAGTTTATTTTATTTTTTGTTGATCATGGGGCTTGAACTCTGGGCCTGGGCCCTGTCCCTGAGTTCTTCAGCTCAAGGCTAGCACTCTACCACTTGAGCCACAGCGCCACTTCTGGTTTTCAGGTGGTTTATTGGAGAGAAGTCTCAGGGACTTTCCTGCCCAGGCTGGCTTTGAACCATGATCCTCAGATCTCATCCTCCTTAGTAGGCTGTAATTTTAGGATTACAGGCATGAGCCATGGGTCCCCGGCTCTTTTGGAGTTTATTAGAAATAAGTCTCACAGAAGTGGAGCTCTGGCTCAAGCGGTAGAGTGCTCGCCTTGAGCTGAAGAGCACAGGGGTAGCGTCCAAGCCCAGAGTTCAAGCCCCACAACTGACAAAAAAAAAAAGTCTCATGTCTTTCCTGCCAGTCCTCAATCCAGCTTCTTGAGTAGTTAGGATGAAAGATGTGAGCCGCTGGTCAAAATTAACTTCTTAATGGAATGTGAGTTAAAGGCTATCATAGTTCAAAAAATTGCTGCTTTTGCTTTGAAAATAGAAAGGAATTCTGTTGAGGATGTTATTTTGTAATTTATTTTATTTTTTTTGCTCATCCTGGAGCTTGAACTCAGGGCCTAGGCACTGTTCCTGAGCTTCTTTTGCTCAAGGGTAGCATTCTATCACATGAGCCACAGTGACACTTCCAGCTTTTTCAGTTTAAGTGGTACTGAAGAATAGAACCCAAGGCTTCATGCATGCGAGGTAAGCACTCTACCCCTTAGCCATATTCCCAGCCCAGGATATTATTTTTTAAAAGTTAGGATACAAGAAAAAAAAGAGGTATGATAAAAAGGGGAGAAATTGATTGGTATACAGTGCAAATGTTTGGAGAGGTGACAATAAAAAAAATCTCCCCTGTATAATTGACACAAGCCAATAAGAGCAAAATGACCCAAAAAAATGTTACTTCCCCCTCCTCAAGAATAAGAGTTTTCATCTTAATTGAATTTCTGCACTATAGATTCCTCAGGCTAATAATCCTCAGTCAAGCCATTTGCTGGGCATTTTTTAAAATATAATTTTTTAAGGTAGTACTGAAGAATTGAACCCAGGGCTTCATGTATGCTAGGCAAGCACTCTACCACCAAGCCTTTCTTAGCCTCCACACCTGGCATTTTGTTGTTGATTCTTTTTTTTGGGGGGGGGGGTCCAGTCATGGGGCCTGAACTCTGGGCCAGGGCGCTGTCCCTCAGCTCTTCAGCTCAAGGCTAGCACTCTACCGCTTGAGCCACAACACCACTTCCGGCTTTTTTCTTTTTGCTTATGTGGTGCTGAGGAATCAAACCCAGGGCCTCAGGCATGCAAGGCAAGCGCTCTACCCCTGAGCCACCTTCCCAGCCCCTTGTTGTTGATTCTTGAGACACTATCTCATTATGTAGCCCTAGCTAGCCTTAATCTTGTGATCCTCCTTGCCTCTGTGTCCTGTGTATGTGATTACAAGTGTGTTAGCACTCTTGGCTTGACCTACAGCCTTTCTACCCAAAACAAAAGCCTATCATCCCCCTTTTGACCCTCAAATCAATCTTCCCGGTCACCTGTCTAGGATTCCAAGGATATCTTGGTTTCTTACCTTCCCGTAGAGGCCGCGATGAGGGCCAGAAAAGATCAGTACAGCTCCCCCAATCACCAGTCCTTGAGGCTCAATGTCTTTATCCTTCTGTTGCTCCCCACCTGGCCTTGATGAATGGTGAGAGCCAATGGAGGCCAGGGCCCGGGCCTCGGTGAGGTTGACCCCTAGCCCTAACCCCTTGGGTCTCACTGAATGGTTCTGGAGTTTCACGACTCTGTAGAGAGAAACATATGCATGTGAAGGGCACAAACCTTCAGTACCCTGGCACTGAAGCTCCTCCACCCCAAGCAAACATACCCCATTGGTATTTTCTTTGTTAGTTGTGAGGCTTGAACTCAGGGCTTGGACATCGTCCCTGAGTTTCTTTTGCTCAAGGCTATCACTCTACCATTGAGCAACAGTGCCACTTCCAGCTTTTTCTGTTTATGTGGTACTGAGGAAACAAACCCAGGGCTTCATGCATGCTAGGCAAGCACTCTACCACTAAGCCACATTTCCAGTCCTCATCAATATTTTTTTTCTTGTAAAGATGCTGTACAGAGGGGTTACAGTTACATGAGTAAGGCAATGAGTACATTTCTTGTCGAGCACTGTTACCCCGTCCCTTGTTCTCCCACTATCCTTTCCTTCCCCCACTTCCTCACTCGGTATTTTCAATCATGCCTTTTCCAGTCTTTTTTTTGTGTGTAACAGTCCTGGGGCTTGAACTCAGGGCCCGGGCACCATCCTGGAGCTTTCTTGCTCAAGGCTAGCACTCTACTAATTGGGTCACAGCTCCACTTCGGACCTTTTTGGTGCTTAACTGGAGATAAGGGTTCATGGACTTTCCTGCCTGGGTAGGCTTCGAATCATGATTCTCAGATCTCAGCCTCCTGATTGACCACCAGTGCCTGGCTATTTCTCGTCTCTTATTAGGATCTTTTTTTTTTTTAGGTCCAGTTGTTTGGGCCTAAACTCTGGGCCTGGGCTCTGTCCCTCAGCTCTTCAGCTCAAGGCTAGCTTGAGGCACAGCGCCACTTCTGGCTTTTTTCTGCTTATGTGGTACTGAGGAATCGAACCCAGGGCCTCATGTATGCGAGGCAAGCGCTCTACCACTGAGCCACATTCCCAGCCTTTATTAGGATCATTTTTATCCATTAAATTGACATTTCTGTTTTTTTCTTTTCAGGGTGCTAGAGATCATACATTAAGCACTCTCTACCCATAAGCAATACCTCCCCCAAATAAAAATTTCATTTGTTTCAACCTAGTTAACATGCTGTCTATTGCATACCATCTACAGTGGGGTTTTAAGTTAAGCTCCTATAACCAAATATACTAATTTTTGCAAAGAAAATCACATGAATAGTCATGCGAAATAGGGGAAACAGACTGTAGAATACCCAACACTAAGGTTATATTTGACTGCAGGGAATCTTGTTCCTGTCCACGTATCCATCATCTCATCCTGTCCCAGAACTCACGGATTAAAAGTACGGCCGATGCCTTTGCCAGGTTTCCAGCCCATGCCTCGCAGCATGGCCATCCCATAGGCCTCCACAGGGACTACCTCATAGTCAGCCTCCTTTGGCACCTATGGGTTCAAGCAGAAGAAGGAGGTCAGGCTTTGCTTAAGTTGGGCTCTGTGTTTGCAGGGCACTTGCTGTAGTTATCCACTATCTATTCTTCTGGTCTTTGGCCAATCAGCTCAAAGATGAGTTCTTGCTGTCCCTCACTTTACTCCTCTATATTTATTTCTTTAATAAATATTTACAAAGCATCTATGCTATGGTAAGTACTGTTCTAGGTGCTGAGGATAAAGTAGTAAACAATACAACTTCTGCTTTCTAGTTATCAAGCTACTAAACAAATTCAGAAAACGTGATACATCATATAGTGATAGTTATCAGGTAGTGATAGTTATATGAGGAAAAAAGGTAGCTGGGGTGTGGTGGCTCAAGCCTGTGATCCTAGTTACATAGGAGGTGGAGATTAGGGGACTGAGGTTCAAAGCCAGTCCAAAGTCAAAAGTTCATGAGACTCCATCTCAACCAATGGCTGAGTGCAGTGGTTTATGACTGTTAGCCCAGCTATTGGGGAAGCACAATGGCTGAGAACAGTGGTGTGCTTCTGTTATCCTCAATGACTCAGAGAAGCACAAATAAGAAGACTGAAGTCTGGGCTAGTCCAGGTATTAAGCAAGACTATATTTCAAAAATAATCAATGCGGGCTGGGAAGTTGGCTCAGTTGTAGAGCGCTTGCCTTGCATGTCTGAGGCCCTGGGTTCGATTCCTCAGCACCATATAAGCAAAAAGAAAAAAAAGCCAGAAGTGGCGCTGTGGCTCAAGTGGTAGCGTGCTAGCCTTGAGCTGAAGAGCTGAGGGACAGCACTCAGGCCCAGAGTTCAGGCCCCACAACCGGACCAAAAAAAAAAAACGCAAGCCAGGCACTGGTAGCTCACACCTGTAGGATTTATTCAGGAGACTGAGATCTGTGGATTGCATTTCAAAGCCAGCCTGGGCAGGAAAGTCCATGAGACTCTCATCTCCAAGTAACTACCAAAAAGTCAGAATTGGAGCTGTGGCTCAAGTAGTAGAGTGCTAGTCATGAGCAAAAGAATCTTAGAGACAGCATCTGGGCCCAAAAGGGCCTGGAGAGGACAGGGAATGTGGCTTAGTGGTAGAGTGCTTGCCTCTCATCCTCTTATGCATGAAGCCCTGGGTTGGATTCCTCAGTACCACATAAACAGAAAAAGCTGGAAGTGGTGCTGTGACTCAAGAATGCTAGCCTTGAGCAAAAGAAGCTCAGGGACAGTACCCAGGCCCTGAGTTCAAGTACCAGGACTGGCAAAAAAGGGCAGAGCTGGAGGCATGGCTCAATTCCCTGCTTAGCAAGGGTAAGGCCCTGAGTTCAATCCCCAGTGTTACCAAAAAAGAAAAACAAGAAAAGAAAGGAGAGGAAAAAGGTAGTTTGGGGTTCCAGTGGTATTGCCTATATTCTCACTTGCTTGGAAAGCTGAGGCAGAAGGATGGCTTAAGCCAAGGAATTTATTGAGTGTGTGTTAGTACTGGGGCTTAGACTCAGAGTCTCATACTGTTTGCTCAAGACTGGTGCTCTATGATAGACCACAGCTATACTTCCAGCTTCTTGGTGATTAACTGGAGATGAGTCACACAGTTTTTCTGCCTATACTAGCTTCAAATTAGGATCCTCAGATCTTAGAATCCTGAGTAGCTAGGATTACAGGCATGAGCCACCAGTGCCTGGCTAGAGCCAAGGAATTTGAGATCAAGGAATAAAGGGAGATGGATACCCCCACCTCATAATAAAAGAGGTTAAGAGATGGAGATGGGATGGAGAGGGTATGCCACTGAGATGGCTTTTGAGAAGAAACAGGAGATGACACAGGGAGATTTCAGGACATGGGAAGGAAGAGTATTTCAAGCTCAGTGTGTTGTAACAGCAAAGGCCCTGAAGCTGAGCAAGACTTATTGTGTGATGAGAATCATGGAAGTTAACATGACTGACAAGAGATATGGAGACAGAGCGAGATAAACGAGGAGTGCCTGGCAGGAGCCCAAGGTCCTTCAGTCAGGTAAAAGGCACAGGAAGAACCATAGGAAAGTCACTTCAATAGTCTAGATGAGAGACACTAATGCCTCAACCAAGGGTGCTGGTTGGTTGTGGTGAAGGTGAGATGCTATCAGATTCTGGATGTAATTCGAAAAGAGAAAATAGGATTGAGCTCACAGATTATATATAGAGTGTATGAGATAAAGAAGAGAGTGGAGCATGGCAATAAGGTCCTTTTTTTTTTTTGGTCCAATCGTGGGGCCTCAACTCTGGGCCTGGGCACTGTCCCTCAGCTCTTCAGCTCAAGGCTAGCATTCTACCACTTGAGCCACAGTACCACTTCCGGATTTTTTTTCTGCTTATGTGGTGCTGAGGAATCGAACCCAGGGCCTCATGCATGCAAGGCAAGCGCTCTACCACTGAGCTACCTTCCCAGCCCAGGCAATAAGGTTTTAAAGCTGAAAGATGGATGTAACTGCATCAATTAACTGAGACAAGAAAGGCTGTGAGAAGGGGCTTGTAGGAGAGAAAATTAGAGAAAAGAAGCCAAAGCTGGAACTAGATGGAGTGAGAGCTGGGCAATGGCTCAAAATAGAGGGATTAGGGGCAGGGAAGGTGGCTTAGTGGTAGAATGCTTGCCTAGCTCAAGTGGTAGAGCCCTAGTCTTGAGCAAAAGAAGTGCATAGACAGTGCCCAAGCCCTCAATTCAAGCCCTGGGACTGGCAAAAAAAGATAGAGGGCAAATTTGGGAAATTATGTAACCACTTAATCACAATAAAAAATTTGAAAAAAAAAAGAAAAGATAAGAGGGCTTCCCTAGCATGTGGGGAGCTCTGGGTTCCATCCCTGACATTATAAATAAAAAGGCAATGCTAGGTACTGGTGTCTCTCACCTGTAATCCTAGCTACTCAGGAGGCTGCGATCTAAGGATTGCAGTTCAAAGCCAGTCTAGGCAGGAAAGTCTGTAAAATTCTTATCTTCAATAAACTACTAAAAAGCCAGAAGTGGAGCTATGGCTTACGTGGTAGAGTGCTTACCTTGAGCAAAAGAAGCTCAAGGACAATATCTAGGCCCTGAGATCAAGTCCCATGACTGGCATAAAAAGGGAGAGTGAGGAAGAAGGAAGAAACCAGAGCATACCTGAAGGTTATAATAGTTCAGTAGGAAGGATAATCTAAGACTTATAGGATGATTAGGATCTGAAGAAGTATATTACACCTGGCTGGGAATGTGGCTTAGTAGTAGAGTGCTTGTCTAGCATAAGCCCTGGGTTTGACTCCTCAGTACCACACAAACAGAAAAAAATTGGAAGTGGTGCTGTGGCTCAAGTGGTAGAGTGCTAGCCTTGAGCAAAAGAAGCTCAGGAACAGTGCCCAGGCCCTGAGACAAGCACCAAATTATGTATATTGCACCAAATTAATGAAGAGGTGAGAAGTTGTTCAATGCCTATTAAAGGTAGATATTGGTCACTTCCATGGACACATGGAATCATTTTGTCAATCCTTCACAATTATACCAGATATACCACAAGTGGTCTTACTGACAGAGACGATGCTGATTTTCTACCACTGAGTCACTGCTTGAGCTGTTGCTGCCATTAGGAGTACTAACTCTGCTCTTCCTTCTCTCATAAAATCTGAATGTTTCTTCTAGATCTTAATCCTATCACTTCGATCTGGGTCTTCTTTATCTCTAGTTTGGACTACCACTCACAGCACTTAGAGGGATCCTGAGTCAAGTCAGAAATTATAACCCTTTTCTGCTTAGGCCCTGCCCATGGCTCCCATTTCACTCACAATAAAAGCCAAAGTCCTCCATACGGCCCACAAGGCCCTGCTTGATCCAGCCCCCATTACTTCATTAAATGTCCCAGTCCCTCACTCTTCTATTTCAGCCACAATGGTCTCTTTGGTGCTCAAAAGCCATTCCAGGGAGCATGTTTCCTTATGGCCTGTACATTTCCCTTTCCCTTTGCTCTCCATCTCATCCAGAATTCATGTACCATTTTCTTTTCTTTCTTTTTTTTGGTCAGTCGTGGGGCTTGAACTCTGGGCCTTGGCGCTGTCCCTCAGCTCTTCAACTCAAGGGGAATGGTCTACCACTTGAGCCACAGCACCACTTCTGGTTTTCTGGTGGTTAACTGCAGATAAGAGTCTCACGGACTTTCCTTTAGAGGCTGGTTTTGAACCGTGATCCTCAGATCTCAGCCTCCAGAGTAGCTAGGATTACAGGCGTGAGCCACCAGCACCCGGCTTCATGTACCATTTTCACATACGGGTATGCTTCTGGAAAGGATAGGAGGAAAGAATAGGCAGCAAGCCTCTTGAGTTATATGCAAACAGAATTTCCCTACTATGTGAAAGGAGAAAAGTGGGAAGACAGGTGAGAAAGACTGGGAAGAGTAAGAAAGGGCTCACTGTCTCAGCCTGGGGTTCATTGTCTGCGTCTTCCCCACTGGGGACACATCCTTTCGGGATCATAGGGATGGCAAGTGTGGGATCAACACCTGCATTCTCTCTCTCCTCCAGAGACTTCTTGGATTCTTAGGAAGAAAAAGAAGAAGTAATGAAGTGATAGTCTATTCTTCCACCTTCCTCCCCTTCTTTTTTTACTGGGGCATGGTCAAGGGGTTAGTCACTCACCCTCAACCAGCTCCTTCACAGCCTGTGACAGCTCACTATCCATCAAGGCCTTAGAATCAGTGGACGGTCGAGGGGTCTGGGACAATGGTTGTCTTCGCAAAACATTCTGGATCACTGGAATGACTAATTCTTTGGGGGTTTCCAGGGACTTCACACTGATATGGACACAGAGGAGTAAGACTGAGAGAGTAAATGAGCCAGTGCGTTGGAACCGCACTCCTTTACTCATAGAAAACAGAAAAGCTAACAGAAAGGAATAGCCCTATCCACCACATCCTACTTTCTGCAATCTGGCTCTCCTTTTAATGTGTCTGCTTTGCCTATTTTCCACATCCTTCCTAATTTTTCTTTCTTTTTCTCCCCCCAGCCTTTTCAGTACAGATGATAGAACTCAGTACTTCAGGCTTGCCAGCAAGTGTTTTATCACTTGAGCCAGCCTTGGGTCTGGATGGTCTGCCCAATTATTTATTTATTATTTTTTTTTTGCAGGTCTGATCCCTGAGTTCTTTTGTGGAGCCACAGCGCCGCTGCTGCCACCTTTTTTGGTGGTTAATTGGAGACGGGAGTCTCCAGCACTTTCCTGCCTGAGCTGGCTTTGACCTGAAATCTTAGATCTCAGCCTTCTGAACAAGTAGTATTACAAGTGTGAGGCAGCCACTCCCAGCTGCCCCAACTCCTAAATGTCAATATCTTCCAGGAATCATTCCTAAGCCCTCATCCACAATAACCCACTAACCACTATCATAAACACACACTCACTCCAGCACCAGGCTCAACCTCCTCCTAGATGGCTGATTCTCTTCTAGAAACAGCTCTATAGGGCCCATTGGATTCTTATTTCCTAATTAAACTGCCAACAGCCTCTGTCCTGAATTTGCCGCTCCATCCCGTTCTCCGCATCAGAGACTGAAATGGCGCATTTCAGTTGAGACGGCAGGAGTCCTGTCGTTCTCCCCATGTTCCTCTTCAAAACACGGACAGATTCAGCGTTCCTAAATTCTAAGGCCTCTCCTTGACGGGAAAGTATCATCTCCCCTCTTCTTAAGCCACCAGACCCAATTTTCCCACCTCTTATACAAACTCCCTGCTTATTTCCTCCATACATTTCTTCCAGCTGTGTTTTAGGCTTTTCACGTGACTGTCACCAAGACAAAATTACTCAGATTCTGCCCTCCTGCTAGCTAGCGCCCACGGTTCTGATTTCCAAGGGGTGAAAGACCCCACGCTTCGTCTCTGAAACTCTCACCCTTCTATTGTGTTCAGGAATTCCTTCTCCTCTGGGGCGGTTTTCGCACTGGCTCCTAAGTCCGCCAGCTGTCTCCGGGAAGATGTGCGAGTGAAACCGAAGGACACTGTAGCAGTTGAAATTTCAGCCGGCCGCAAAATGCCCTCCTCGTGGTCCTCCATCTTGCTCTGGTTCCCAGGTTGGCGCGCTGCTTGCTGGGAAATGTAGTTTGAGCTCATTTCGCTAGGGGCCAGCCAACGAAAAAAAGAACTACATTTCCCATAAAGAATTGTAGCAGCAGGCTGGGAATGTGGCTAAGCGGTAGAGCGCTTGGCAAGCGTTCGTGAAGCTCTAGGTTCAATTGCTCGGCATCACATAAACAGAAACAAACAAACACGGAAGTGGCGCTGTGACTCAAATGTAGAGTGCTAGCCTTGAGCTGAAGAGCTGAGGGACAGCGCCATGACCAAGCCCCATGACCGACAAAAAAAAAAAAAAAAAAAGATGCTCAGGGACAGTGCCCAGGTCCTGAGTTCAAGCCCCCGAGACTGGCAAAAAGAAAAAGAAAAAAAAAAAAAGCCAGGCTGAGATCTGAGGCTTGTGGATCAAAGCTGGCCCAGGCAGTAAAGTCCATGAGACTCTTAACTCTGTGTGTAGCTACAATTCATATACCAGACAGTACCAGTCAGTCAGTCGTGGGGCCTGAACTCTGGGCCTGGGTGCTGTCCCTGAACTCTTCAGCTCAAGGTGAGTGCTCTACCACTTGAGCCACAGCACCACTTCCAGTTTTCTGGTGGTTAATTGGAGATAAGAGTCTCACGGACTTAATTTTTTTTTGGGGGGGGGTCCGGTCGTGGGCCTTAACTCAGGGCCTGGGCGCTGTCCTTCAGCTCTTCAGCTCAAGGCTAGCGCTCTACCACTTGACCCACAGCACCACTTCCGGCTTTTTTCTTTTTGCTTATGTGGTGCTGAGGAATCGAACCCAGGGCCTCATGCATGCGAGGCAAGCACTCTACCACTGAGCCACCTTCCCAGCCCCTCTCACGGACTTTCTATCCCAGTCTGGCTTTGAATTGCGATCCTCAGATCTCAGCCTCCTGAGTAGCTAGGATTACAGGCATGAGCCACCAGTGCCTAGCTACAGAACAATCCTTTCCCTCAGCTTCTCCCTTTCTTTTTCCCTCTCCCTCCCTATTTCCCCTTCCCCTCTCTCTCATTCTCCCTTTCCTTCTCTTTCTCCTGCACCATCTCTCTTCAGGAGGCAAGCTCTTGCTATATAGCCAAGCTGGCCTGGAGCATAGCCTGGACTGGCCTCTAGTGGACTTGAACTCTTCAGTCCTCCTGCCTGAAACAACTGGGTGCAAGGTTGGTGCCACCATGCCTAGATCCTTTTTTTTTCTTTTCCTTTTTCTCTCCTTCTCTCTCCTCCCCTTCATTTCTCTTTCCTTTATCTTCCTTCTCTTCACTTTTTTTTTCTGTCTTCTCTGCACCTTTCTTGCTCTCTTTTAAAGCAGTCACACTTATTTTTTATTTTATTTATTTTATTGTATTTTATTTTATTTGCCAGTCCTGGGGATTGAACTCGGGGCCTGGGTAATGCCCCTGAGCTTTTTGCTCAAGGCTAGCACTCTACCACTTGAGCCACTGCACCACTTCTGGCTTTTTCTGTGTATGTGGTGCTGGGGAACTGAACCCAGGGCTTCATGTATGCTAGGCAGGCACTCCACCATTGAGCCACATTCCCAGCCCAAAACAGTTACACTTAAACAGGTTATGTGTGTGTGTGTGTGTGTGTGTGTGTGTGTGTGCGCGTGCGCGCGCACGCCAGTCCTGGAGCTTGAATTCAAGGCATGAGTACTATTCCTGAGCTTTTTGGCTCAAGGCTAGCACTGGGCTTTTTGGTGGTTAATTGGAGATAAGAGTTTCATGGGGGTTGGAAATGTAGCTTAGTGGTAGAGTGCTTGCCTAGCCTAGCATGCATGAGGCCCTGGGTTCGAGTCCTCAGCACCACATAAACAGGAAAAGCTGGAAGTGGTAGAGCTCTAGCCTTGAGCAAAAAAGTCCCTGAGTTCAAGCCCCAAAACTGGCAAGAAAGCAAGTCTCATGGACTTATGGAATAGCTATGAACTTTGGTGCTCAGATCTCAGCCTCCAGAGTAGCTAGGATTATAGGTGTGAGCTACTGGTGTCCAGCTTGATCTGTGTGTGTGTGTGTGTGTGTGTGTGTGTGTGTGTGCGCGCGCGCGTGCTAATACTGCGCCTTGAACTCAGGGGTTTTACATTCACTTGGCTTGCTTGTTCACAGCTGGTGCTTTACTATTTCTGTATGCCTTCATCCCTGATTTTTTTTTTTGGTTATTTGGAGATGGAATTTCCAGAACTTTTCTCCCTGGACTGGCTTTGAACTCTGATCTTCCAGGTCTCAGCTTCCTGTGTAGCTAGGATTATAAGGCATGAGCCAACAGTCCTGGATTTCTGCAGGACATCTTTCAGTCCAAAATCTAGAGCCACTCTGGTCATTCTTTTGTGTGAATTGGCTTAAAGACTATTAGTGCAGTTGAGGACATAGATCAGAAGATCTTGGGTTTGGGCTGGGAAGGTGGCTCAGTGGTAGAGCGCTTGCCTTGCATGCCTGGGCCCTGGGTTCAATTCCTCAGCACCACATAAGCAAAAAGAAAAAAGCCAGAAGTGGCGCTGTGGCTCAAGTGGTAGAGTGCTAGTTCATGCCTGTAAACTTTGCTACCAGGAAGCTGAGATCTAAGGATCATGATCAGCCAGGGCCATTTTGATCTTGAGACTCATCTCCAATTAACCACCGAAAAGTTGGAAGTAGAGCTGTGGTTCAGGTGGTAGAGCACTAGCCTTGGGCATACAAGCTCAGGACTGTGCTCAGGCCCTGAGTTCAAGCCCCAGACTGGCATACACATAGGAAAAAAAGGAACAAAGACAAATATCAGTGAGGTCTCATTTGATTTTTTTTTTTTTGTCATTCATGGGGCCTGAACTCTGGGCCTGGGTGCTGTCTCTCAGCTCTTCAGCCCAAGGCTAGTGCTCTACCACTTGAGCCACAGCGCCACTTCCGCCTTTTTCTGCTTATGTAGTGCTGAGGAATCAAACCCAGGTCTTCATGCATGCAAGGCAAGGGCTCTACCACTGAGCCACCTTCCCAGCCCCATTTGGTTTTTGTTTTTGTTTTTTGGTCCAGTCGTGGGGCCTGAACTCTGGGCCTGGGCGCTGTCCCTCAGCTCTTCAGCTCAAGGCTAGTGCTCTACCGCTTGAGCCACAGCGCCACTTCTGGCTTTTTCTGTTTAGGTGGTTCTGAGGAATGGAACCCAGGGCTTCATGCATGCTAGGCAAACACTCTACCACTAAGCCACATTCCCAGCCCTCTTTGTATTTTTTTCTTGATTCTCACCATTGACTAAGTAAAAAAAAAAAAAAAAAAATTTATTTATTTATTTTTTTGGTCGTGGGGCCTGAACTCTGGGCCTGGGCGCTGTCCCTCAGCTCTTCAGCTTAAGGCTAGCGCTCTACCACTTGAGCCACAGCGCCACTTCTGGCTTTTTTTGTGCTTATGTGGTGCTAAGGAATCGAGCCCAGGGCCTCATGCATGCAAGGCAAGCACTCTACCACTGAGCCACCTTCCCAGCCCATAATTAAATGTTTATTAGGGTTTTTCTTTTTTGGTCAATATTGGGGTTGAACTCGGCCTCCAGTTTAGGCAAGCATTCTATTGCCTGAGACACCCCCCCCCCCGCAGTCCATTTTGCTTTAGTAATTTTTCAGATAGTATTCCAGCTTTTTCCTTAAGCAAGCCTCATACCAAAATGTAGTTTACTATATGTTTTTTTGCCAGTCCTGGGGCTTGAACTCAGGGCCTGGGTGCTTTCCCCGAGCCTCTCTGTGCTCAAGGCTAGCAATCTACCAATTGAGCCACAAACCACTTCCAGCTTTTTCTGTTTATGTGGTACGAGGAATAGAACCCAAGGCTTCATGCATGCAAGGCAAGCACTCTACCACTAAGCCACATTCCCAGCCCATACTACATGTCTAATGTAGCTGAGATTACAAGCATGTGCTACCATGCTCAAAACTCTTAAGAAAATTTTAGAGACAGTCTGAGTCCGTCTGTTGGTTCTGGTGCCTATTCAACACTATGTATATAATCAATCATCTATCTAGTTTCCTATCTACAACTTACATAGTTGTTAATATTGGCATGGTAAGTTTTATGTGTTCACATATCTCTATGCTTATAAATAAATGCATGTTATATTGTTATTAAAAAGGTATAGCTGGTTTGGTGTCTAAGTATGATGATAAGATAAGGAAACTCACAGAATGATACAGAAGGGGATGGTAAAAGTCACAGCAGTACAAAAGATTAATCTGGCTAAATTATAATATGTGTACTTGTGAAATCCCTTTTATTTTGGTGGGTCCTGGGGCTTGAACTCTGGGCCTGGGCGCTGTCCCTCAGCTCCTCAGCTCAAGGCAAGCGCTCTACCACTTGAGCCACAGCACCACTTCTGGTTTTCTGGTGGTTAATTGAAGATAAGAGTCGTGGATTTTCCTTTGTGGGCTGGCTTTGAACTGCAATCCTCAGATCTCAGCCTCCTGAGTTGCTAGGATTACAGGAGTGAGCCACCTGTACCCTTTGTACAATTCTTTTTTTTTTGTCAGTCTTGGGACTTGAACTTAGAGCCTGGGTACTGTCCCCTGAGCTTCTTTTGCTCAAGGCTAGTGCTCTAGCACTTGAAACACAGCTGGCTTCTGGTGGTCAATTGGAGATAAGTGTATCACAGGCTATATTTGAACCATTATCCTCAGATCTCAGCCTCCAGAGAAGCTAGGATTATAGGCATGAGCCACCAGCACCTGGCAAAAGTCAATATATTTAAAAATTAGTGGAGGTTAACTGTTGGATGTGATATCAATATAGGCTGATCAGTAAAAACCCAACCAGGGAGCTCAGGGGGGAAATCCAAACATAACAACAGCAACCCAAAACAAACAAAAAACAAGTTTGTCTGAGGGTGGCTGAGCTCATGTCCAGGGTTGAACTTCCTGAGGAAGGACTTTAAGGGGAAATATATTAACATAGCTCAGCCAAGTCATTAAGCAAATAAAGAAGCAAACAAGCCAATGATAACAAAAAAAGGACAAGTCAGTTGTTACAAAAT